TTGTAAAATTAACTGTGTCAATAAGGTGTAGATAGTAAGTATAGACCAGAAGTAGAGGCCTGGGCATTGTTGTTCACTAATTAACTCCAAGTAGGGAAAGGATGGCGGGGTTGAAAAGTAATAAAGGGGAGTATATATATAAAAAACATGGGGGATTGGAAGTGATGCAGACAATTACATTGATAGAAGATACAATCTATCTGCAATATTAAGCTGATCCACCCCCCCCCCCCCCCCCAAAAAAAAAAAAAAAAAAAAAAACAATAGTACGCAAGTATAAACACCATGGGACCAAAAAGTGAAAAAATCCCAGAACAACAGCAAAGGACCTTGTGAAGATGCTGGAGGAAACTGGTACAAAAGTATCTATATCCACAGTAAAAAGAGTCCTATATCGACATAACCTGAAAGGCCGCTCAGCAAGGAAGAAGCCACTGCTCCAAAACCGCCATAAAAAAGCCAGACTACGGTTTGCAACTGCACATGGGGACAAAGATCGTACTTTTTGGAGAAATGTCCTCTGGTCTGATGAAACAAAAATAGAACTGTTTGGCCATAATGACCATCGTTATGTTTGGAGGAAAAAGGGGAAAGCTTGCAAGCCAAAGAACACCATCCCAACCGTGAAGCACGGGGGTGGCAGCATCATGCTGTGTGGGTGCTTTGCTGCAGGAGGGACTGGTGCACTTCACAAAATAGATGGCATCATGAGGAAGGAAAATTATGTGGATATATTGAAGCAACATCTCAAGACATCAGTCAGGAAGTTAAAGCTTGGTCGCAAATGGGTCTTCCAAATGGACAATGACCCCAAGCATACTTCCAAAGTTGTGGCAAAATGGCTTAAGGACAACAAAGTCAAGGTATTGGAGTGGCCATCACAAAGCCCTGACCTCAATCATATAGAACATTTGTGGACAGAACTGAAAAAGCATGTGCGAGCAAGGAGGCCTACAAACCTGACTCAGTTACACCAGCTCTGTCAGGAGGAATGGGCCAAAATTCACCCAACTTATTGTGGGAAGCTTGTGGAAGGCTACCCGACACGTTTGACCCAAGTTAAACAATTTAAAGGCAATGCTACCAAATACTAATTGAGTATGTAAACTTCTGACCCACTGGGAATGTGGTGAAAGAAATAAAAGCTGAAATAAATCATTCTCTACAATTATTCTGACATTTCACATTCTTAAAGTAAAGTGGTGATCCTAACTGACCTAAGCCAGGGAATTTTTTACGAGGATTAAATGTCAGGAATTGTGAAAAACTGAGTTTAAATGTATTTGGCTAAGGTGTACGTAAACTTCCGACTTCAACTGTATCTACAGTACAAAATCCATGTGTACGTGTGTGTATAGTGTGTATGTTATCGTGTGTGTGTATGCATGTGTCTGCGCTTATGTTTGTGTTGCTTCACAGTCCCTGCTGTTCCATAAGGTGTTTTTTTTAATCTGTTTTTTAAATCTCATTTTACTACTTGCATCAGCTACTTGATGTGGAATAGAGTTCCATGTAGTCATGGCTCTATGTAGTACTGTGCTCCTCCCATAGTCTGTGAAGAGACCTCTGGTGGCATGTCTTGTGGGGTATGCATGGGTGACCGAGCTGTGCGCCAGTAGCTCAACCAGACAGCTCGTTTGCACCCAACATGTCAACACCTCTCATAAACACAAGTAGTGATGAAGTCAATCTCTTCGACATGCATATTATTAATATTAGCTCTCTGCATACATCCAAGGGCCAGCCGTGCTGCCCTGTTCTGAGCCAATTGCAATTTTCCTAAGTCCTTTTTTGTGGCACCTGACCACAGTAGTACAAGTGTGACAAAACTAGGACCTGTAGGACCTGCCTTGTTGATAATGCTGTTAAGAAGGTAGAGCAGCGCTTTATTATGGACATACTTCTCCCCATCTTAGCTACTTTTGTATCAATATGTTTTGATCATGACAGTTTACAATCCAGGGTTACTCCAAGCAGTTTAGTCACCTCAACTTGCTCAATTTCCACATGATTTATTACAAGATTTAGTTGAGGTTTAGGGTTTAGTAAATTATTTGTCCCAAATCCAATGCTTTTAGTTGTAGAAATATTTAAGACTAACTTATTCCTTGCCACCCATTCTGAAACTAACTGCAGCTCTTTGTTAAGTGTTGCAGTCATTTCAGTTGCTGTAGTAGCTGACATGTATAGTGTTGAGTAATCCGCATACATAGACACTCTGGCTTTACTCAAAGCCAGTGGCATGTCATTAGTAAAGATTGAAAAAAGTAATGGGCCTAGACAGCTACCCTGGTGAATTCCTGATTCTACCTGGATTATGTTGGAGAGGCTTCCATCAAAGAACACCCTCTGTGTTCTGTTAGACAGGTAACTCTGTATCCACAATATAGCAGGTGGAGTAAATCCATAACACATAAGTTTTTCCAGCAGCAGACTACGATTGATAATGTCAAAAGCCACACTGAAGTCTAACAAAACAGCCCCCACAATCTTTTTATCATCAATTTCTCTCAGCCAATCATCATTCATTTGTGTAAGTGCTGTGCTTGTTGAATGTCCTTCACTATAAGCATGCTGAAAGTTTGTTGTCAATTTGTTTACTGTAAAATAGCATTGTGTCTGGTCAAACACAATCGTTTCCAATAGTTTACTAAGGGTTGCTAACAGGCTAATTGGTTGGCTATTTGAGCCAGTAAAGGGGGCTCAGTAATTTTCCATCCAAGTTGTCAGAGCCCGGTGGCTTGTCATTGTTGATAGACAACAATTGTTTTTTCCCCTCTTCCACACTCACTTTACAGAATTCAAAATTACAATGTTTGTCTTTCATAATTTGGTCAAATATACTTGGATGTGTAGTGTCAGCAATTGTTGCTGGCATGTCATGCATAAGTTTGCTAATCTTGCCAATGAAAAAATAATTAAAGTAGTTGGCAATATCAGATGGTTTTGTGATGAATGAGCCATCTGATTCAATGAATGATGGAGCTGAGTTTGCCTTTTTTCCCAACATTTCATTTAAGGTGCTCCAAAGCTTTTTACTATCATTCTTTATCTCATTTATCTTTGTTTCAAAATGTATGCACTCACTAACTGTAAGTCGCTCTGGATAAGAGTGTCTGCTAAATGACTAAAATGTAAATGTAAATGTTTCATAGTGTAGTTTCTTCTTATTTTTATTCAGTTTAGTCACATGATTTCTCAATTTGCAATACATATGCCAATCGGTTGTGCAGCCAGACTTATTGCCATTCCTTTTGCCTCATCCCTCTCAACCATACTATTTTTCAATTCCTCATCACGTTTCACAAAAAGCTTATTTCTCTCAAATGTTGTGCACAAATTTGTTTACATCCCTGTTAGTGAGCATTTCTCCTTTGCCAAGATAATCTATCCATCTGATAGGTGTGGTGTATCAAAAAGCTGAATAAACAGCATGATTATTACACAGGTGCACCTTGTGCTGGAGACAATAAAAGGCCACTCTAAAATGTGCAGCTTTGTCACACAACACAATGCCACAGATGTCTCAAGTTTTAAGGGAGCGTGCAATTGGCATGCTGACTGCAACAATGTCCACCAGAGCTGTTGCCAGAAATGTAATGTTTATTTCTCTACCATAAGCCGCCTCCAACGTCATTTTAGAGAATTTGGCAGTACGTCCAACCGGCCTCACAACCGCAGACCACGTGTAACCATGCCAGCCCAGGACCTCCACATCTGGCTTCTTCACCTGCGGGATGGTCTGAGACGAGCCAGCTGATGAAATTGTGGGTTTGCACAAATGAAGATTTTCTGCTCAAACTGTCAGAAACCGTCTCATCTGCGTGCTCGTCATCCTCATCAGGGTCTTGTCCTGACTGCAGTTCGACAGCGTAACCGACTTCAGTGGGCAAATGCTCACCTTCGATGGCCACTGGCACGTTAAAGAAGCGTGCTCTAAACGGATGAATCCCGGTTTGAACTGTACCGTGAAAATGGCAGACAGCATGTATGATGCCGTGTGGGCGAGCGGTTTGCTGATGTCAACGTTGTGAACAGAGTGCCCCCATGGTGGCGGTGGGTTTATGGTATGGGCAGGCATAAGCTACGTACAACAAACACAATTGCACAGAGATACTGTGACAAGATCCTGAGGCCCATTGTCGTGCCATTCATCCGCCGCCATCACCTAATGTTTCAGCATGATAATGCATGGCCCCATGTCGCTAGGATCTTTACACAATTCCTGGAAGCTGAAAACGTCCCAGTTCTTCCATGGCCTGCATACTCACCAGACATGTCACCATCCATTGAGCATGTTTGGGATGCTCTGGATCGACCCGTAATCAAATCACATTTTATTTGTCACATGCGCCGAATACACCTTACAGTAAAATGCTTACTTCCAAGCCCTTAACCAACAATGCAGTTTTAAGAAAAACAAGTGTTAAGAAAGTATTTACTAAATAAACTGAAGTACAAAATAAATAAATGACAGCGTGTTCCAGTTCCTGCCAATATCCAGCAACAGCCATTGAAGGGGAGTGGGACAACATTCCACAGGCCACAATCAACAGCCTGATCAACTCTATGCGAAGGGGATGTGTCGCACTGCATCAGGCAAATAGTGGTCACACCAGATAATGACTGGTTTTCTGATCCACACCCCTTCCTTTTTTTTAAGGTATCTGTGACCAAAAGATGCATATCTGTATTCCCAGTCATGTGAAATCCACAGATTAGGGCCTAGTGAATTAATTTCAACTGACTGATTTCCTTATATGAACTGTAACTCAGTTAAATCTTTGAAACTGTTGCATGTTGTGTTCATGTTTGTGTTGCTGGTGCAGTGCTTATAAATCCCCACTAGATGTCACAAGATGCCATTCATAAACCCATTCACAATCTATACAAATATTTCAGTTGAGTTCAGACTTTCTTTTGATTTCATTATCATATTAAATGTGTATGATTTAACTAAATAACATGATACAAACACACGCCTTATAATAAAAACTATTGGCAGCTTTAATCAGATCTACGCATACAGTACCACCATTTCAGGGACAAGAGTGCAATTGGTCATTTACTGTGAAATGTAATTAGTATTGGAAGTTTCAAAACTCCATCAGGTGTGTGTATGGACCGTTGGTATCCAGCTTCAGCACTTGTCTGTTCCCATAAGTTCCATGTTTGACGATGGTTCCAGTCTCACTACTCTTACTGGACAAAGCCAGTTCCTTCTCAAAGAGGGAGACAAAGTTAGAATACAGCTGCAGGCCCTCTTCTTTCCTAATGTTATTGTGGTACTGCATGCCCTTCCCTTTGGCCTTGCCTCCCAGTGTAGCCTGAGGCACGATGAGGACGCTCCCAGGCAACTCCAGCACTGACACATACTTCCCAGAGTCAGCCTCACACAGCTTCAAGTTGAGCAGAGTGTTCACTGTAGAGTACAGTAGAGCAGAGTGATTAATAACCATTCAGTAGCAACACTGCTTTACGATTAATTGAAGAACAGTGACATTTACTGTTGACAGTCTTGCGAAGCCCAGGTAGGTGCATTATTGCAGTATTGTCCAAAACTGGAAAAGCACTGGACCTACCCATTTTGGGGATAATGTCCTCTGTAGCGCCTTTGAAAAAGCAGATATATACCACCATCCCTCTGTCAATCTGAAAACATGAAATCTTATGAAAACCCCCAATTATTATAAATAATAAAATAAAATATCTTAGGCAAGGTGCCATTATTATTCTGAGCATACACTCTCACTAGTATAGACCATATTTGCATTTGAGAATGTAGTAGAACATAATTCAGTAGTACCTCCACCCATTCAGCCTCAGACTGATCATCTGCAGGTTTGACTTGAAGCCTTGCATAGAGACACTGCTGAAGAACAGTTCTTGCTTGTGGAGAATCTGCCTTTTCAGTCATTCTAAAACGATGTCTGCCTGGTTCAGAAGATAAAGCACAAGCGGAATCGTTACATAATAATAAAAAAAAGGGACAGTCAGGCAAAACACAACAGAGAAGAAACATAAACGTGGAAAACGTACCTGTTTTTGACACTCGCTTCCGGGTGAGGCAGGCTCCTCCTGACGCGATGAAAACGTCATCAAACATCGACATTCACTTGGGCAATAACACAAGATGGCTCACTGTAGCTACAGTAAACTCTCACATTTATTAAAGTTAACAACCGCTAACTTAAATAAACCTACATTGTTACGGACCAGGAGACATATTCAACATGTACCACTACGCTGCAAATATTTCATACGTTTTCATAAGGTAAGATTCCAGCTCTATTGCTCAAATTGTTTACAACTAGCTTGATACATGCTAGCAAGTTCACTCGGGTTTACTGTTTACAAAGCTAGCTGATCAGTAATCATAGCAAGCCATTGAGGCCAATAATGTCGCCTGTTTGTTTAACTTATCTGTATAAGTTACATAATGTGAAACTCAGTTGCTCATTCCATGATGGTGTCTCTGTATTCCCCAGACCTCAGGTCCTGAGAGGGCGTTGTAGGAGAGACAAAAGCAGCATATGGCACGCAGCTTGCCCAAACAAAAGCCCATTGCTGGAGTGAAACAAGTTATTGTGGTGGCCTCAGGGAAGGGGGGTGTTGGGAAATCAACCACTGCAAGTAAAGCAGGTTCTTATTGGGCTCTCTGTGCTGCTCATTCATTAAACATTTACACAAATGTGTAGGCTACAATTTGAAAACATTTCAACAGACAGTGGTTTGGTCTGATCTTTTTGTACTTCATGTACTATATATTTATATACAGTGTAATCATTTGCTTACCTAATACTTTTGCATTTCCTCCCCTCAACAGTGAATTTGGCCCATGGACTCACAGCTAATGATCCAGTAAGGAATGCATGCATGATTATTCATTTGCACATTTTGTTATTACTGTTGCATACCAATTTCTGCCCAAATGGGAATGCAGAACCATGACAATCTTGCTCTCTCTCATGACAATCTTGCTCTCTCTCTGTTTTACTACTGCTGTACTACCCATTGTCCACTCAGTTGCTCTTCATGTATCTTTTCTGCACACAGAGTAAAACAGTGGGCATCTTAGATGCTGATGTTTACGGTCCCTCAGTGCCTAAGCTGATGAACCTGATGGGGAACCCAGAACTAACTGACAGTAGGAGACTTCTGCATGTAGTCTAGCTTGAGGAATAACAGTGATGTATTAGCTTTGTCCATTCATTATAGAGATCACATTGAAAAGATTACCTACAAAGTTGTGTAGTGTTTACTTAATTTGTGCTTTCAGACAACCTCATGAGACCGCTTATGAATTTTGGGATTCCTTGGTGAGTATATTTATCTACAATTGCAAGTGATGGGGGAGGGAGCTAAGCAACCAAATAATGAATTGAGTCATTGACTGTCCTCTCCATCGCTCTCATCCTTCTGTCCTCAGTATCTCCATGGGGTTTCTGGTAGAGGATGTAGCACCCATTTACTGGAGGGGCATGATGGTGATGTCGGCTATAGAGAAGCTACTTAGACAGGTGGGGGAGAATGATCATTAATGTACAGTAACCTTACCCTTTATTAGTTTTTATACTAGAGATACTATATCAGAGTAATAGCTACTAGATATTGTAGTATGCTGTGCCATTAATTTTTTTCTTCTTATGCAGGTAGATTGGGGACCGCTGGACTACCTGGTTATTGACATGCCACCTGGAACTGGAGATGTTCAGTTATCAATCACTCAGAACATCCCAATAGCAGGAGCAGTGATTGTGTCCACTCCTCAGGATATTGCCTTGCTGGATGCACGCAGAGGAGCAGAAATGTTCAAAAAAGTCAATGTACCGGTAAGAGCATTGGATGCAAAATGCCACTTTATATCAACTCTGCATAATTATGAAAAATGTCTTAAATTATTTTCGAATGACCTTGGTAAGGACAAAATAAACGTACAGTGGGGAAAAAAAGTATTTAGTCAGCCACCAATTGTGCAAGTTCTCCCACTTAAAAAGATGAGAGAGGCCTGTAATTGTCATCATAGGTACACGTCAACTATGACAGACAAATTGAGATTTCTTTTCTCCAGAAAATCACATTGTAGGATTTTTAATGAATTTATTTGCAAATTATGGTGGAAAATAAGTATTTGGTCACCTACAAACAAGCAAGATTTCTGGCTCTCACAGACCTGTAACTTCTTCTTTAAGAGGCTCCTCTGTCCTCCACTCGTTACCTGTATTAATGGCACCTGTTTGAACTTGTTATCAGTATAAAAGACACCTGTCCACAACCTCAAACAGTCACACTCCAAACTCCACTATGGCCAAGACCAAAGAGCTGTCAAAAGACACCAGAAACAAAATTGTACACCTGCACCAGGCTGGGAAGACTGAATCTGCAATAGGTAAGCAGCTTGGTTTGAAGAAATCAACTGTGGGAGCAATTATTAGGAAATGGAAGACATACAAGACCACTGATAATCTCCTTCGATCTGGGGCTCCACGCAAGATCTCACCCCGTGGGGTCAAAATGATCACAAGAACGGAGAGCAAAAATCCCAGAACCACACGGGGGGACCTAGTGAATGACCTGCAGAGAGCTGGGACCAAAGTAACAAAGCCTACCATCAGTAACACACTACGCCGCCAGAGACCCAAATCCTGCAGTGCCAGATGTGTCCCCCTGCTTAAGACAGTACATGTCCAGGCCCGTCTGAAGTTTGCTAGAGTGCATTTGGATGATCCAGAAGAGGATTGGGAGAATGTCATATGGTCAGATGAAACCAAAATATAACTTTTTGGTAAAAACTCAACTCGTCGTGTTTGGAGGACAAAGAATGCTGAGTTGCATCCAAAGAACACCATACCTACTGTGAAGCATGGGGGTGGAAACATCATGCTTTGGGGCAGTTTTTCTGCAAAGGGACCAGGACGACTGATCCATGTAAAGGAAAGAATGAATGGGGCCATGTATCGTGAGATTTTGAGTGAAAACCTCCTTCCATCAGCAAGGGCATTGAAGATGAAACGTGGCTGGGTCTTTCAGCATGACAATGATCCCAAACACACCGCCCGGGCAACGAAGGAGTGGCTTCGTAAGAAGCATTTCAAGGTCCTGGAGTGGCCTAGCCAGTCTCCAGATCTCAACCCCATAGAAAATCTTTGGAGGGAGTTGAAAGTCCGTGTTGCCCAGCGACAGCCCCAAAACATCACTGCTCTAGAGGAGATCTGCATGGAGGAATGGGCCAAAATACCAGCAACAGTGTGTGAAAACCTTGTGAAGACTTACAGAAAACGTTTGACCTGTGTCATTGCCAACAAAGGGTATATAACAAAGTATTGAGAAACTTTTGTTATTGACCAAATACTTATTTTCCACCATAATTTGCAAATAAATTCATTAAAAATCCTACAATGTGATTTTCTGGAAAAAAAATGCTCAATTTGTCTGTCATAGTTGACGTGTACCTATGATGAAAATTACAGGCCTCTCTCATCTTTTTAAGTGGGAGAACTTGCACAATTGGTGGCTGACTAAATACTTTTTTTCCCCCACTGTATATGTCACATCTCATAGGTCCTGGGCATAGTCCAGAATATTAGCGTGTTTCAGTGCCCCAAGTGTAACCACCAGACCCACATCTTTGGGGCAGACGGAGCAAGGTCACTTGCTGACACTCTGGGAGTACAAGTATTGGGTAAGACCCATTTCAAACATATGTAATTACAGAGTTAATCATTTCTCTCAATCTCATAGAAAGATAATAGTGTTGACTGATGTCTTCTCCCTCCTCTGTCTAGGAGACATTCCTCTACACCTGAGCATCAGAGCGATGTCAGACAGGGGCCAGCCTGTGGTGGTGTCCTCGCCTGATAGGCCTGAGGGAACAATAGATAGTCAAGACAAACATTGGCAATGTTGGGAGTCAGACTGTGTATTCGTCACCATAACATTGTGTACGTTTTACACTTTTGAGAGTTTGCCATGTTAGTTTTCTACCTGGGTTTGTTTCATATATGTCTGCCTATGCGTATTGTTTTAGGCTGAGGCCTACAGAAAAGTGGCAACTGCCGTGGTCCAGCGTCTAGAAGAACGCTTTGGTTGAGTGACTGCCAACTACTGTGTAGGACAACTGGACAACTAGTAATCTACAGAAAATGGACCAGAACACTGCTCTTCTCCCTATCCCCCACTGTTGCCGCAGAGTCCGCAGAAATCCATGATATCTGATCCGGTTACATTGATATATATGACATACTTACTCTATGGAATGATGTATAGTATATTGGACTTTCATTGTAGTGACAGTGATAACATTATGTTCAGTTTCAGTAGCAATCTGTCTCTTCAAACCGGTCAGTATTCAATATATAGATTTAGTGTTCAGTCTGATGTTCAAATACAACAAGTTTTAATTTAAGCCTTGACACTACAATGTACAGTAAACTCATTGATTGTTATTTATGCCCTAAAAGCATAGGGTGAAAATAAAGGAATGCTTTGATTATATGTAGTTTTTTCTATCTGAGGTGATGCCTGGAGAGTTGTGCTTTTTTCTTTGTTTACAATATTTACACAATCTTCCATCTTCATGAAATGCAACATGTTACCAAGTCAGAGATGAAAATAAACAACCTACTGTTGGATTGCCCACTTGACTTGAAGCCTATAAGAGTTGCAGTTACTCTCTATAAACATCAGGTGGCACTGCATATCCAATCAAACATCCCACTTTCCCACCACCAGTCATATCAGCCTGGTCTCAGACTAGATGTAACACAGTAAACAGAAATCCGGGACACTCCAATTAGTGTGAAATGTTACATTTGGTATGGTTACATATGACAGAAGGTTACTTAAGGCAAAAACTAAAGTAGGGTGGCTGGTCAGGCGTATAACGTGAACATCTAGCAACCCAAAGATTACATGTTCGAATCTCATCATGTACGATTTTAGCTATTTAGCAACTACTTACTACTTTTTAGCTACTTTGAAATTAATTAGAATGTTAGCTAACCCTAACCGTGTCACCTAACTAACATTAGCCACAACAATTCATAACACATCTTGTTTTGCTAATTTGTAACATTTTGTACGAATTGCCATTAATAACATATCATACTAATTGTAATTCGGAACATATACAAAATGGATTATGGACATCCACAAATTAATACATACCATACGAAACGTAACATATCATACTAATTGGAGTTTCTTCGATTTACATGTACTATGTTATGTCTACCCCTGAGTCATATTTATTTCCTCAGCCTGAGTGGGATGAGCACTCTGTGACTTGTGCAAACAGGAATACTTCCTGCATATTTCTGTCACTCCCTAGACTCATCTAACAACCACAGCTGTTTCGCTTTCAACCAAACCAACTGCCATGAAAACCAAGCCAGACAGCTCAGTGTCTTATCAGGTCAATGAGCGTTGAACATTTACTACTGTACTGTTCCTGTGTAGCTGTGGTTATTCATTTGCATGCTGTTCTATATTGGAGGAACAGAATATGACTGCGTTTATATAACCAACTCAATTCTGATATTTTTTTCACTAATTGGTATTTTGACCAATCAGATCAGCTCTGAAAAAGATCTGATGTGGAAAGAGCTGATGTGATAAGATCTGATGTGATTGGTCAAAATTAGTGGAAAAAAAATATCAGAATTGGGCTGCCTATGAACGCAACCTGAGAGGTCATACCAAACCCCTTCAGACTAGTTATTGAGTCTTTCAGCAGCTCCATCTGTGGTCTGAGGCCCAGTGTTGGAAAAAGTACCCAATTGTCATACTTGAGTAAAAGTAAAGGTACCTTAACAGAAAGTAAAAGTGAATGTCACCTAGTAAAATACTACTTGAGTAACAGTTAAAGTATTTGGTTTTAAATATACTTAAGTATCAAAAGTAAATGTAATTGCTAAAATAGACTTAAGTATCAAAAGTATACAGTATTAAGCAAACCAGACGGCACCATTTTCTTATTTTTATTTATTTATGTATAGCCAGGGGCACACTACAACACTCAGATATAATTTACAAATGGAGCATGTGTGTTTAGTGAGTCTGCCAGATCAGAGGCACAGGGATGACCAGGAATGTTCTCTTGATAAGTGTGAATTGCACCATTTTCCTGTCCTGCTAAGCATTCAAAATGTAACAACTACTTTTGGGTGTCAAGGAAAATGTATGCAGTGAAAAGTACATTACTTTCTTCAGGAATGTCGTGAAGGAAGTAAGTCAAGTTGTCAAAAATATAAATAGTAAAGTACAGATAACCCCCAAAAACGACTTAAGTAGTACTTTAAAGTATTTTTTGTTAAGTACTTTACACCACTGGCTGGGGTTGAGACTTGGTGTTGATGGGATGCACTTCTGCTCAGATGGTCCACAGTAAAGAGGAAGGCCCACTAACTCAGCCATCTATTTGTGGTTCTGTTTAAATAACTGAACAGTATTGTGGTCTATTTTATTTCCATCCAAGTCCTGTTTTTAGTTCTGTACACTTATTTCACCTCAAACTGACCTTCATTTTTAGGGACACGGATCAACATGATATTGTCTTTAATCCCATACATACAGTGCATTCGGAAAGTATTCAGACCCCTTTACTTTTCCACATTTTGTTACGGTACAGCCTTATTCTAAAATGGATTAAATTGTTTCCCCCCCCCCCCCCTCATCAATCTACACACAATACCCCATAATAACAAAGCAAAAACAGGTTTGTAGACAAAATTGCAAATGTATTACATATAAAAAAATGAAATATCACATTTACATAAGTATTCAGACCCTTTACTAAGTACTTTGTTGAAGCACCTTTGGCAGCGATTACAGCCTCAAATATTCTTGGGTATGACGCCACAAGCTTGGCACACCTGTATTTGGGGAGTTTCTCCCATTCTTCTCTGCAAATCCTCTCAAGCTCTGTCAGGTTGGATGGGGAGCGTCGCTGCACAGCTATTTTCAGGTCTCTCCAGAGATGTTAGATCGGGTTCAAGTCCGGGCTCTGGCTGGGCAACTCAAGGACATTCAGAGACTTGTCCCGAAACCAATCCTGCGTTGTCTTGGCTGTGTGCTTAGGGTCGTTGTCCTGTTGGAAGGTGAACCTTCGCCCCAGTCTGAGGTCCTGAGTGCTCTGGAGCAGGTTTTCATCAAGGATCTCTCTGTACTTTGCTCCATTCATCTTTCCCTCGATCCTGACTAGTCTCCCAGTCCCTGCCTCTGAAAAACATCCCCACAGCATGATGCTGCCACCACCATGCTTCACCGTAGGGGTGGTGCCAGGTTTCCTCCAGACGTGACACTTGGCATTCAGGCCAAAGAGTTCAATCTTGGTTTCAGCAACCTCTTCCGAGTCTTCCGGCATGCTTGCTACTCTCCTACGGGAAATTCAAGATGGTAACAAAGGTCTTTCACTGAAAATTGACAAAGAAATCGGCTGAACTCAATTCTTCCATTGACGACCTGAAATCCTCCCTGAATGATCTCCTTTAGAGAACGACTGAGGCTGAGTTGCGCATTAGCACAGTTGAAGATACCGTCACTCGACATGACCAGGTTATGAAACAGCTGCAGAAGGACAATGCCTATCTCAAAAACAAGGTAGACCAGATGGAGAACCTGAGCAGACATAGCAATATCCGTGTGGTGGGATTGAAGGAGATCAGCGAGGGCCATGACCCCGTCTGTTTCTTCACTCAATGGATACCTGATGTCCTAGGCATTACCAACTTCACCATGCCACTGGAAATCGAACGCGCCCACAGAACCTCAACACCGAAACCCACGCCAAAGGGGACATCACCATCGATGGCAAAAGGGTCAGCCTTTTCCCGGATATGAGCGCGGATCTCGCCAGACGTCACAAGCAGTTCAAACCAGCCGCCAAAGCACTGAAGGAGAAGAACATCACCGGCTACCTCATTCACCCTGCGCGGATGAAAGTTCAGTACAATGGCCGAAGCCATCTCTTCGACACACCGGGAGAAGTGTTCACTTTTCTCAAAGATCTGAACCGCGTTTGATTCACGAAGGTTCATCTGTGGGATATGACGCAGTTTATTGATTTGTTCTTGTTTGTGCTGTCCTGGGACTGAACTGCGGATGTCTACTTGGAATTTGGATCTGTTTACCCCACGATTTGGTTGCTACAATTGACATGGACATTTTCAACTAAAAAATGTTTTCCCGTGGTGAGTTTTATTACATTTACAGGAGAGTATATCTTGGTTTTGTCAATATCCACTGGGTGAAGCAAATTAGTAGGCCTAGGCCCATTGCATTTTCCCCCATTTATGTTCCTCCTCTTCTCCTGAAAAGAGACTCAAGCAGCCCTTATTGTTGACAGTAAATGTTCAGCCATAAATATCTATTTACAACGTTTGTTTTCAACATAGAGAGCTCGTAAGTTTTAGTTTATGTCAAGCTAGTGAGAGCAACATGGAAAGCGAGCAACAACATATCTCTACTAGTGTTTTCATGTTTGATTGTTGGGATTGTGGTTTTAGTCCGACAATCAGGGTGGGTGGGGTTTCAGTTTTTTTTCTATGTTTAATGTCGTTTCCTTCCTAATGAGACACATAGGTCACTTCAGTGTTCAAATTAAAGTTGAAACATTGCCTGACTATTTACATATGAGGGATTACCATTCGGTTATATATTTGAAACCCAACCCATGCTTTATCCACTAAAATATGTCACATTCAACATAAAAGGTCTTAACAGCCCGATTAAGAGGAAAATAGTCTATACATACCTTAAGAGATTAAAGGCTGACATTGTGTTTTTACAAGAAACACATCTTACAGCCAGTGAACACAAGAAATTAAAAGGGGGAATGGGTTGTTTTTGTGTGCTCTTTTAACTCCAAAGCAAGAGGAACTGCAATTTTGATAAGTAGACACATCCCCTTCTGTGTCAGCAACACCATGTCTGATCCCTCAGGCAGGTTTGTTTTGGTGCAGGGGCATATGTATTCGGAGTCTTGGACCCTTTTGAATATTTATGCGCCTAACTTAAATGATCATATGTTTATTCAGAATGTCTTCCCTCAGGTTGCTCAAGCACCACCAGGATGGCTACTGGCTGGAGGAGATTTTAATTTTTGTTTAGATACAGCTCTTGATAGGTCCTCTGATAGACCCTCCCCTCTTACCAAAGCCGCCAAGTCCACCATGTCATTCATGAAGGATCTCAATTTACTAGACGTCTAGAGACAGATGCACCCATAGGACAGGGACTACTCTTTTTATTCACACCCACACAACACACACACATAGATACGTTTTTACTATCAACCCAACTGTTTCATTGACTGTTAGATACCGATTATCTCCCCAGATTGCTTAGTGACCATTCTCCTCTGGTATTATCAATCTCCATTCATACCTAGGTAAATGAAGCATGTACACTACCTGTCAAAAGTTTTAGAACACCTACTCATTCAAGGGTTTTTCTTTATTTTAACTATTTTCTACATTGTAGAATAATAGTGAAGACATCAAAACTATGAAATAACACATATGGAATCATGTAGTAACCAAAATAGTGTTAAACAAATCAAAATATATTTACATTTACATTTTAGTCATTTAGCAGACGCTCTTATCCAGAGCGACTTACAGTTAGTGAAT